TTTTTTTTTTTTTTTTTTAGCGTTATTACAATAGCATATAGTGCAACGCGTCATGTGCAAATATTGCGACTATTATATTGTTTCAATAAAAAAAGATTACGAAAATGTTACTTTTCTTACCTCAAATCTATAAGAGGTAGAAAATCGACGTCTATCAGCGGTCTAAGACTGGGCAGGCTATACGTTGTGATGTGACCATTAGAAACATAACATACCAGGCAGACATTATCTGGACAGAAATATTTCAATAATGCATTACATATACTAAAATATTTAAATGATTATTGTATATATACACAACGTAAAAGTTAAAAAACAATAGACAATACCTTTCAAAGACGTAACTTCCGCCTTAATTACGATATGGGTCTCCGCTAACTGTTGTCTATATACACAATTCTGAGAGGGTAATGCTACAACTCTCGCTTGTTTCTCTGACGCAAGCACAACAAATTGTCTATCTTCGAAATTATCTCCACTAACTTGTGTCGACGGTGACATTCGGCTATTTGTACATTTCCCTTGATTCTCTTTAACAAAAAACAGATTATTAATATTCCTATTATACATCAAATTTTTCAAAGAAATATAAAGATCGCGAACGTGATTAAGTAAATTGATAGACTATCGTTTTTTTTTATTAAAAATCGCGAAAATATGTGAAGAATTACAGAGAAATTGTACCAAATCAATTTTTGATGTTATATATGTAAATACAATAAAAGAAATAAAGCCTACTGTTGCGTTCTTTGCCGTCCACATTTTCGTCTTTCCAAGACTCGTATAAATATGGAATCAAAGCACCGTTGCAATCTAAGAACGACATGGAAAGGATACAACCCTTGAGTTTGAAAGTAGATCCATCTGCGTACAATGAAAGACATAGTAAAACTTCATATTACATGGGATAATCTTAAAGATTAAAACGGATAAAATATGATTCTACTAAATATTGAATGTGATGAGAGAGAAGAAGGTTTACTTACTACAAGTAGACACAACCACTGGATGAGCATGACGTTCCCCATGAGCAGGTGTATTGAATACAACAGTTTGTACAGATCCCAGGGATGTGCCAATCCATAAAGTTGGCAAACCGCTTGTATCTATGTAAGTAATTATATTAATATGAACAATAACGAATATACTGCACATAAAAGAGAGTTCTTAAATATTAAAAATAAGTATTTAAAATTAATATAATTTACGAATTTTAACAATAAAATATGCACTGAACAACTACGTACCACTTTTTTTCGTATAAGAATCCGCAAATGTAAGGCAGCTAATGGTTTCTGTAGTGATATTTTCGAGGGACGACATACTCGAGCTCCTTGATCGTTGGAAAGAGCCGTCAAACTTATCTACCCGACCAGCAATCCAAACAAAAAATTATCGATTATTTATAGAAGAAAGCGTTATCCATTTTCTCGATTTACTAAAAGACATGCATAATGACTATTAAAATTATTTTTGACATGTTTGCATCGTCTTTACATAGTGTATATCGCAAAGTGTAACTAACGAAGTCAGAACATGTATCAGAAATAGCAGTTTCAAGAGGACAGTAATAATAATGTTTGCGACTCAGAATGAAAATGCTGATTATGACAACGATAATGACGATGACAATAATAATAATAATAACAGCGACAGCAACAACAACAACTATCACGATTAAAATTTTTTGACTGAGCATCTTAATATCTTTCATACACTTTGTACTCGTCAGAACTTATGAATATCAAGTCAAAGTCATAAACTTACACACAAACGCACAAAGACGCAGACACATTCACACCTACGTACGCACGCACGCACGCACGCACGCACGCACGCATAAAGTGTCCAATTAATGCGTAGAGTATCATTTACAGGCCTAATTATTTTCACAGAAGTACACTAAATAGAGACGAGCGGTACAAGGAACCACTCTGGCATGCACGTGTGAAATATTTGAGTAATTTCTCTTGACAAAAATATCGCCGATAAGATTAATCGAGTTCTTGTAATGTAAATGTAAAACGGGTCAAATCTATATGTTTTATAGAAAGTTGTAAGTCTGGGGTAATTTCAAGAGAAGATTTGGATGTTGCTTTTGATTTCATGTGTGTGTTTTCAATCACAAATAGTGTATTGTAAAATGACAATTGAAATACACATTCGAGGATCTTGTCATATAACGTGTCATTTGTTGGAGATAATTCAATGCACAGTATATAACTTAACACCATATGATATACATATTACAAGATGATATTACAAGATGAGTACGTTCCAAATAAAATGACATTTGGAACGCAATGAGAAAAAACACGATACGAATAAAGCGAGTCTATTCGTAGCAAAAATCTTAAGGTTTTGGTTTCATATGTATATAAAGTATTTTGAAAAAATTACGTGTTAACAAATACGAACTCAGATAAAGCTTCACTTTTAAAGAGTTGAATAAGAATTGCCATAATTGTCGAGTAATGTAATACAATTAAAAGTAACGTGAATATATACGAAAAAGTCGGTTTACAAATACAGACTGAAGGAGATAATCTTGATGATAAAAATATTTGTCTCTCTTGTTCTTATTTTTTAGTCAAGACTATAAGATTTAACTGTTAATATATGGTCTCTTCGATATTTGCACATTTACCTTGCATAGGTTATTACCTTGCATGTTATTAATATGTCCATATAGGGTGCATCTTTTATAATGTGCTAAAAAGTAATTATTTCAAATGCAACGTTAGACCACATCTATAAAAGAAGCGAAAATCAAAAGTTTGCCACATAGGCGAAAACGAGAACAGCAGGGAAGAGTACATCTCTTCGAGAGTGCAGTGTGACAACTAGAGATCACGCAGTCCAGACGATGTGCCATTTTGTGTTTATTCAGAAAAGACTCGCTAAAGAGCACGTACAAGTTAGAAAGAAAGAGATGCATTGTAGTAAAAACTATCGAAGTCATTTTCACATTCAGATCAATAAAGACCAGACAGTATCTATATTGATTCTAGATAACAGAAAAATGTATATTATGCTGAAAGGATCTCAAGAACAACGTTGTTTGCAATAATATTAAAGATTTTATGAATAATCCAAAATTTACGTGTCACACTATAATATTATTTTAACAAATACTATGGAATATATATTGATAAAAAAACATTACTGAATATCGTGTGAAGTTTTCAAATCAAACTTAATAAAAATTGATTTCAGAGAATGAAATAAAAACAAAGGAAGAAAATATGAAAAAATCAAACAAAATTAAGTTTAAAAAAAATACATTCATGAATTGAAAGATTCAAATTATTTTGAAAGATTCATATTATTTTGTTCATATATATATATATATATATATATATATGTATATATATATATATATATGTATATATATATATATATATATATATATATATATATATATATAT